GAGGATGTTCCAAAGGGCAGGGGCTACAGCAGAGAAGGCACATCTCCTGGTCCCTGCCAGCTGACATTTCTTGACCGATGGGGCCTGCAGTATGCCCAACCTGCCGGACCAAATCGAATGGGTAGAAACTATTGGGAAAATATGGCCCCCTAGGTAACCCAGTCCCAAGCCATGTAGGGCTTTAACGGCAACAACCAGCACCTTGCCTTGCACCCAGAAGCACACTGGCAACCAATGCAGCTTATGCAGTAGTTGTGTTATATGTGTCGCACATCCAACACCATTTACTACCCATGCAGCTGCATTCTGTATCAGTTGAAGTTTCTGAATGGTCTTCAAGGGCAGCCCCATGTAGAGCATGTTGCAGTAGTCTAAGCAAGAGGTTATGAGGGCTCAGGTGACTATGAGCAAGGCTTCCCTAATTGTTACTTAGATTTTAAAGTGGTAATACCCTCTTGGGAAAACTGATCCAAAAGCAGACTAGCTTTCTCTGAACAGAAGACACATACTGGCAATATTGAGAAGGTGCTCACAAAGGGCTTCATTTTGAAAAGCATGCTAGGGACTGTAGATTGCTTAAATGTTAGCAGAATTCACATGCAGCCTCTTCTAGATGGCAGCCATTCAGTATGTAGCAGATCTAACAAAGAGCTTTTGCAGTGGAGCAGCTTACTCAAGAACAGAATAACTGTCTTTTTGAAGTCTCGTCACCCTCTCTTCACTCTATTGTTGGAAATCTGCAGCATGATCTGATTGGTCTACAAGTAATAATTGCACTTATCTCATCTCTGCTCTTTTTCTGCTTTAGAGATAAGCCCTCCACAGTTTCCTTACTCTCCTACTAGATTCGGGAATGGGGTCAGTTCTAAATTCCCTGTTAGCTGCTTGTTGTGTGTTGGTATGAGCAGCAGGTATCTTTACAGCTTCTGCTGCTTTATTCGGGTGCTCTCAGTGTACCCAAAAGACTGCTTTAGTAGATCAACCTTATTTTTGACTGAAGTCAAAAGTTCGAAGATCAAGATCACCAACTGGGCTGTGGGCAGGCATTGCCTAGTGATGAAGTCTGTTACATTTTCCCTTTTTAAGTTCTTATCATCCCCATCTTGCATAAGCAATGCAGTTGCTGAACAAACAGCAACAGTCTGGGGGAGGGGGGCATCCTCTACCAGGGAAGAAGAAAGTTCTATAAGCTGTTGGGTTTCAATTTCTGTCTGTAGATCCCATTCCAAAGAGTTACTGTATAAGAGTTATAAGTATTATGTCTGTCTGGAGAGTAAGTAGGGTCAGAATTACTTGCTGAAGTTGTCTGCTTGTTTATTATATATTCATCCATTTTCTGCTGCTTCAAAGGCTTGGGTGGTGTCCGTGTTATGGAGTGTACACGCTGTCTCTTCCTTTTTCCCATTCTTGAGTCCTGTTTTATATTTTATTGAGTTGTAGCTGGAGCAGATAGATGAGCTCCCAGGCATTTCAATTTATAAAAGGTAAATTAAAAGTAATATAAAAATGAAAATAGGTTGAAAGATAAAATAAAATAGAATAAAACAGAGAGCATAGGTTCCAAGCTGCTCACCCATTGCCATCTTGAGGCCACCCCTTGAACTTCTTAATGGTAAGAGTTGACATTACAGCATGAAGGCACATTTACAGTGGGGCAAAAAAGCATTTAGTCAGCCACCAATTGTGCAAGTTCTCCCACTTAAAAAG